TCCTTTGTTATATGCTTAAGTCTGGTTAGTTCTTGACTGGTTTTCTGTACAAGGTCCTACAGCAGGTTTAAAGGAGGTGGGGGAAAATGTTATGAAAAATTTCCAAGCCATTTTTGTTCCAAAGAATTTTAGGAAGTCAAGGAAGTTTGGAGAATGTATGGAGTTGAACAAACAAACAAATAAATGCTTACAAAGGAAAAACAATTGACCAGCTCAAGACCACATGCTGCAGCTAAGCCCTGGCTGTTATAGCCATGACTAGCCAGCTGTTAACAGCTACTGCCACTTCTGCAGGCTTCCAAATTCCACGCTGGAAATTCCTGTTTCCTTGTATTCTTGATTAACCCTTTTACATGACAAACACAAAGAAAATACTCAAGATAGGGAAGTGAGTCATGCTACTGTAGAGTTCTTCAATAGCGATGCTGCTACCTTCTTCCCTGGTGCTCACTCAGCATCTTACTGAGACAAAGATCAAATAAGCCAAGCAGTAGTCAATGCCAGTCATATGGAATTTAGTTTTATATGTAATTAATAGTTTAGTTTTAAAATGCACAGTCCTTTTTGTATTGTAACCACATCAAGAGAGGAATGCTTTGAAAAGCCAATAGAGCTGGTAGTTCTAATACATCATTGCTGTTACCTTGAAGTGTTTCTATTTTTTAATAATCTTTTTGTGTTTTAAATCACCCTCAGATATAGGACTGTATTTCCTTATGCCTTTTTTCTGTAAAAAAATTGCTATTTCAAATATATATTATTTTGAAACTATTCTGCTATATCTTCAGTGTTAAAAACATGGACCCAAATCTCGCTGTCAGATAGGAATTATTTCAGATTTACAGTGGACTGAGAGGAGAATTCAGCACATGAAGTTACCGTGAAAGTGAATGCCTATGACCTTCCCTACATTGTCCTACCAATGACCCCTTCTGTAATCAGGCAGAAATCATGCTCCTTAAGAGTGGGAGGTAATGCTGCTTCCATGCTGGCCTATTCCTGGACCTTTGCTGTTCAGACACTGCCAACAGTAACAAATTTCTCTGAATTATGTGCAGTGGTTTAGTGATGTGGACTAGTTATTTATTAGAGACAGAATGGAGACACTAGCAAATGGAGAAAGTGGGAATCAGAAATCCCAAAAGTTTTAAATAAAACTGTGTTATCTAGTAGGTGCCCTATTCCAGTGATGTCTTATTTCTCTCTTCTTTGGGATCTTCATACATTTATTTAAAAGCAAACCACATGAAAAGTTTAAAAAGCAAACAATAACAAGGAAAGAAACCCCAGAAGGCTGTGGCTGAAGAGGAAGGTTAGTCCCATGTTGGGCTATGCTGCACTTCCAGAGATGACAGATCAGTACTTCATTATTTCTTAAACCACAGTTTCCTAGATATAAACATGAGCTCTGACAATGATTGCAAAGCAGGCAGGGTACATGTACCTTTAGGTGTAGGGGCATGCACTTGCAGCAGCACAAATAGCGACTTAAATTTGTGCATGTGCACTTTGTTGCAGGACACTGTGTCCCGCTTTGGGCAAACAGCCGTTGCCCAGCTCCTCCTGGCTCCCAGTACGCTGAAGCAGCTGGGGCACAAATGAATGGAGATACTCTGGCTGCCAGCCAGGGTGTCTCCCTGGAGAACTAAGCCTCCTTTTGCTTCAGTGTAAGCTATTGTAGTGTGTGCTGCGCCACTTTTTTTTCCTGGGTTTATTTTTTTTGTTGCCCCCACACTGCAAATTTGCAGTGTGGGGTGCATTTTACATTCCACATGTGTGGTTTGTGGCACCACAAAGAAGTTCATGGTGCCACAAACTGCACATGCCTGCATGTGGGAACGTGGCCTTCGAGACTAAGATACACGTACAGCCACACCCACAAACTTTCATGAACTCAAGTTCACAAGCCAAAGGACATCGTTCAAGTTTATTGTGTCATAAAAATAAACAATAGACTTTCATCAATTTGGAGGGAAGTTCTGTGAGCCATATTCTCAGCTGCTATTAATTAGTTTAACTCCAGTGATGTCAGACAGGCTCTGCTAATTTACAGCAACTACAAAACTGGCGCTAAGTGTTATGTACTTGAATGAAGAATACTTTTCTTTAACACTGTAGTCAATAATAGGAATGAAGCAAGAGTCTTTCGAGCTCTCTTTCTTGTGATGCTTAGCTAACTATGGTATGCTAACATACAGAAATTACCTGTTCATGTTGGCTCGCCAACTTATAGTCACCGTCGTTCACTTTATTCAAGTAAAGTTTGCCTGGGTCACATTTAATATGTTTTTCTCCTTATTTCTTAGTGAAAACAATCACTTTTTTAATTATTTCACTTGTATTATAGATTACTTATATGTATCAATCTGGACTTAACGCCCCTGAGTTCATTAATGGATACAGACATTAGAAGGGAAGGCATTTAATCTAATACACATGTGTAGTGGAAAGGAGAGATTCTGCAATCTTTAACGTAAAAACCAAGATATATGTTAAAAATCCAGCCAGTAATAGTAGGCTAACTGAGCAGCAAAACTGAGATTATTAGCCTAACAAGGTAATGAAACCCTCTACTGTAAAGAGGAATTATAGGAGACCTAGAATAGAACTAATTTTCCAAAAAACAAGATCATAAAATCCCCCCAACCCCCCCCCCCCCCCCCCCCCCCCCCCCCCCAAAAGTGCAAACATTTTAAAAGGCAACATTTGGAATGAAAAAGAAGAAAAATGTGTGCGCAAAGGGTGTTCCTGGAGTGATAATCAGCTCGTACGATATGTGGATTCAGAGTATTTGGTATTGCTATGATGGGGTTCAAAGATGAACTTGTTCTCCATGCAGGAGGTATCTGGCAACTCCATGTCTCAGGGTTTTGTTAGCCACCTTGGGCGTGCCCAAACATGTAAGCATGCGCGCTTGCAGCAGGTCAAATAGAAGTGGTGCAAATTTGAGCTGGGGCTTTTTGCCTCACCGCACATGCTTGGACATGCACTTTGTTGTGGAGCAAATTGTGCCACTTGGGGCAAAATAACCCTGCCTGGCTCCTCCTGGATCTGCAGCCAGGGGGAGCTAGAGCCTGGGGCCAGCTCCTGTCCTGTCCCCAGCAGTATAAAAAGCTTCCCTGTCCTGGCCCCATCCATACAAAAAGCTGCCTTGGCAAGTAGCTCAGGGCTACTCGCTCTCAGGAGCTTCTGGGCCCAGCCAATTGATACCTGGGGACACTACCCCTTGTGCCATCTGGACACACATGCACACGCACACACAAACGCATCCCTGTTGGGTAATTCTTTATTGGTATATTTACAATGTTAAAGCAGTTTGGAAGCCTACCAGTGTCTCTATCATCATGAAAAAATAAATTCTAAATACCTATATGTGTTGATGTGTACTTTTTGGTTTCTTCACACTTGGTGGGGGGATGTGGTGTTTGCAGGAAGGGGGTGACACATGCACACGCACACACAAACGCATCCCTGTTGGGTAATTCTTTATTGGTATATTTACAATGTTAAAGCAGTTTGGAAGCCTACCAGTGTCTCTATCATCATGAAAAAATAAATTCTAAATACCTATATGTGTTGATGTGTACTTTTTGGTTTCTTCACACTTGGTGGGGGGATGTGGTGTTTGCAGGAAGGGGGTGAGAAGGGGTGTGGGGGAAGGTGGGTGGGTGTGTGTGGAGGGATGTGCGTTGGTCTGTGGGTAGGTGTGGGGCAATTGGGGCAACCCAGGGTCCCAGCTCCACGCTGGATGGCCCCAGCCCCACCCCCACTGCCCAGGGCCTGTAACTGATCTTTCACAGCAGCAGCAGCAGGGGACTGTGCGCCAAGCCCAGCTGGGTCCTGCCGGCCCTGGGGATCCTCCTGCTGCCCAGCCAGGCCAGTCTCGTAGTGGCAGGACCCAGTGCGGCACGTGGGGGCCGCGGGCCGGGCCCGGCTGTGTCCTGCCACCCTTGGGACTGCTCTGCCATCTGTCTGGGCCCGGCCCATGGTGACAGGACCCAGTGTGGCATGTGGGGACTGTGTGCCAGGTGCAGCTGGGTCCTGGGGCACCTCTGCCTCCTGGTCAGGCCGGGCCCATGGCAACAAGGCCCAGAGAGGCACACAGTCCTCATGTTCCAGGCCCAGCTGGGTCCTGCCGCCCTTGGGGCTGCTCTGCCACCCAGCTGGGTCCGTCCTATAGCAGCGGGACCTGATCCGGCACATGGGGACTGTGCGGAGCTGAGCCAGGTGACATGAGCAGCCCCAGGGCCAGCAGGACCCAGCTCGGCTCCGTGCAGTCGCTGCGCACCGGGCCAGGTCCTGCCTCTGTAGAAAGGGCCCAGCCGGGTAGCAGGACCCGGCTGGGAACCGTGTGCTGCACTGGGTCCTGTCACAATGGGCCAGGCCCAGCCAGGCTGGGCGGCAGACGGGCCCCAGGGTTGGCTTTTGCTTCTGCCCCGCTGTGCCTGCAGGGGGGTGAGGACCTGGCCCAGCCCCATGTGGCTCTCTAGTCTGGCTTTGCACTGGAGCGGGTCACACGGCTCTGGGAGGTGTGGCTCCTGTGCGCGCCTCCAGGAACCATGCGACCCGCTCCAGTGCAATAGCGAGCCACATGGATCTGGGCCAGGTCCTCACCCGTCACAGCCCCGGAGACATCCCCCCACATCCCCCTGCTACCCCTCACCCACCCACACCCATGAGCACCCTCCCCCTCTGACTTACCTTGGACAGCGCCAGGGGCCGGGGGCAGCAGGAGTACCAAAGAGACGCTCTAGCCAAAACCAGAGTGTCTCTTTTGGAGGACTGACTCCCTGCTGGCTCTGGGCACGGTCTGGAAACATGCCTTGCTCTGCTCTATTGCGGAGTGGTTGTTTTAGACCCCTGGATATCCAGGGGTCTAATTTTCTCCCTGCACAAACTTTTTGTGTTCCTGCATGTGCCTCTTGCACCACCTCAAAGGGGTTTGAGGCAGGGAAAGA